GATGATCTAGGCATATAGCCTTGATTTCTCCCTCTTTATGTTTTATTGTCACCTTATTAATTTTTCATGAATTGTTTCAAGTGCTTTTTGAAATGAGATGATAAAAGAAAAAAGAAAGAGAGAGAGAGCAAGGAAGGGGAGGAAAAGAAAGAAAGGAAAGGGAGGGGAAATGATAAAGGGCGAGAAAAAAAAGGAAAAAGGAGCAATGAAAGAGGAAAGAGAAAAATGGGTTAGGAACAATGAGATCCTATGAGGGCATAATTGAGGAACGTAAGAAATATTATGTTTAGCCAACTTGAACCTCATTCCAAACCCCTTCTTCATAGTCTCTCTCTACTATAGGGCCATAGATGTGAAATATTTCCTTACCCATGCTCTTTCTTTGCTGCCATTTCAGGAAGCAGTGAGTCATTAGCAGGAATATGCTAGGTTTTTTTTCTGGTTAAGATTTAGCACTTAGGGTGAAAGATAGAGATGAAGCTGTCCTGCTGCTTCTCCTTTCTTCCTTCTCTCTGCCTTAAATAGAAATGAGATATCTGAATTTGAGACAACTATCTTGTGAGAGTGATGGAAAAAGTCTGAGAAAACTCTAAGGAGACTTGGGTGATGGCACTCAGACATAACTGAGTTGGTGAGTGCACCCAGCAGCCTCCTGCTTTAAGTCTTAACATGGTGAGAAAAAGAAATCTGTATTTTTCAGCTGAGGTTAATATTGTTTCTTGAAGCTGAAAACATTCATATTTGATTCAGAAATTTTGAAATAAAGACAGACTCTGAAAAGACGAAATTAATAAGAGATTGGTTAGAAAGGTCAAGAACAGAAAAGCTGAGTGTAACTAGTCCAGAAAGATGGTGGAATGATAATACAGTAGAGAAATCCTGTGGGTGATACAAATCTCTTTGGAGCATATTGATCCCAAAATACACATAGGACATCAAGACATAGTGTGACAACGCAGGCTATTTGCTATTGTATGAGTGGCCTGGAGTCTGAACTTGACAATGATAGCTGAATTATGGCAGTGATTAAAAATCACTGGAGGTAATAATGCAGGAGACAATTGTAAACATCTACAATTAGTGGGTATAGAAAAGAAGAAACTCCTAGTAGAAACAAGTAACAGAATATGAAAAATATAGAAGCCTGGAAGTAAGATAGAGCTCCAAAATAATGGGTTGGCACATCTTCATCTTGAAGAGACATATTCAAACTGATATCTCTCACCACATGTTGCCTTCCCTTGCTATTGAGCTCTCTAACCTGTTTTTCCTGCCTTCCCCTACTTGCTACAATCTCGGTCCACCTCAGTTAAAAAACAAACAAAAAAACCTTAGTATCTTAACTTCATTGTGTGAATCAAAGTCATACTATCAATTGTTCTTTTTATTAATTAATTTCCTTCTTTGATGACTACTGGAAATCTTGTATTTTCTCTTTCCTTCAAAATCAATTACTATACTACCTACAATCAAATCAGAAAAATACAGATAACTATATAGAAAAATGGGCAAGATGCTTGAACAAGCACTTCATAAAAGATATCTAGAAAGCCAATAAATATTTGGAAGTTTCTCAATCTTATCAATAATCAGGGAATTGCAAAATAAAACAGCCATACATTACCACTGCAAACTGATTAGAACAGCTAAAATTATGAAGACTGAAAATAGTAACTATTGGAGAGGCTGTAGAGAAACAGAAAGTCTAATATATGCTTGTAGAAGAACAACTTTTTTGTAGGATTGACATTATTGATTAGGAATAAATATACATATACCTTATGATCCAGGAATTATACTTCTAGGTATATACTTAAGAGAAATATGTATAAATGTGTAACCAAATAAATTTATGTAAATATTTAGAGTACTGTGTATTGTTACATTAATAGTTCCCAAATGAAAATAAAATTCAAATATCTACTCTAATTAAAATGGAACAAAAAACCTGTTGTCTATTTCATACTATGTAAAAATACACTGAAATTAAAACAAAAACAAAATGCTACTAGATACTTCATGAATAAATTTACACATATAAAAGTCAGCAAATAAGTCAAACACAAAAAAATGTTTAGAAAAGATGAGCATCCAAAACCCCAAATTCAGAAATCTGAAAGGCTCCAAAATCCAAAACTTGAAAACTGACATAATGCTCAAAGAAAAAAAAAATCTCAATGGAGCACTTGAGATTTCCAGATTTGGTGTGCTCAACCAGTAAGTATAATGCAAATACTCAAAAATTCAAAAATATCCAAAACACTTCTAATCCCAAGAATTTCAGGTAAGGAATATTCAGTCTGTATATGCCTTTATATAAAGTTCAAAACTAGAGAAAATAATGCATTTATATAAAGTTCAAAATGGACAAAGCTGACTATGTGGTTAGAAGTCAGGAGAATGGTAAATTTGAAAGGGAAATGCTATGGTCTAAATGTTGGTCTCTTACCTTCTACCCAATGTGACTGAATTAGGAGGCCAGGTCTTTGTAACTGATTAAGTGATTCCTCATGAATGGAATTAGTCACTTTATATTAGAGGCTCTAGACAGCCCCACACCCTTTCTGCAGGTGAGGAAGGGCAAAGCAAAAAGGCATTATCTGTGAAACAGACAGCAGCCCTAAGCAGACACCAAGTCGGCTGGCATCTTAATCTCATACTTCCAAGCCTCCAGAACTGTTAGCAATATATTTATGCTGTTTTTATATTACTCAGTTCAAGGTATTTTATTATAGCATCCCAAGTGGACAAAGACAGAGGTAACGAACAGGTAGTATTCGGAAGACACAATTAAGGATTCTGAGTATTGGAAATACTTTTATCTTGATAGAGGTGATGGTTACAAGGGCTCAAAATAACCCATGAAGCTATTTGCTTATGATTCATGCTGTTTTTGGTATACACACATTTCTTAAATTAAAATATTTTTCAAAATTTCTGTTTCCACTTCCTTAATACATGACTGTGAAGTTTTTACTTCAGATCCTTCTGATTGACTTTCATTATCCATCCCACCATCATTTTCTCTTCCCACCAAGCTTTATTTCTGGAAACTTTTTTATGCCTCAAATGTCCAAACCTAACAATGACTGTGTTATGCCCTTTGTCCCTAAATTTTCCATCTCTTTCTTAATTGACACTTTTAATTTCCTCTCTGCCTCTCTCTTCAGCTTTATTCTTAGATGACTAGACCACCCATGAGACATACGGAAGTCTACATTTCAAAGAACTTTGCTTCATCTCAGTTGATAATAGGAGGCATTGATTAGCAAGAGGGTAAAAATTTGTTAGAATAATCTTGATAATGGATACATCTACATCTGCTATATCCCCATTTTATTACCATAGTATTGATTGCTTCTTTGTAGTTACATTTAAAGCTGCTCATTCCTACCTTTATTTATTAGACTGAGAGATCCAGAAGACTAACTTAGTAGGCATTTATTATATATTTTAAGTTAAAGAAAGCCTGCAAAACACTTAACAAATGGCTTTAGCAATCAAAACTTATATATGAGATTTATGTATAAAACCTATAGTAAACAAGTTTATTTTGCATCTTAATGGGAAAAAAAGGAAGTGTCTATCTCAACCACTTTATAATGTCATATTCATTGAGAACAGTAGAAAGGTAAAGGAATCATCATTTAATAGCAGAATGTATGCCAATCCATTTGGTGTTTTATATTCATCATTCTGACGCTGAATTTATAAGGTGGGTGCTGTTATCTTAAATTAGCACTCTCAAAGAGAGAGATGCAGAGAAGTCAAATAACCTGCTCAAGATCATATAACAATTAAAGGACCTAACCAAGATTTGGACTTCAGATTGTGTGATCAAAAACCCATGGTCTTTCTTCTGTATCTTGCTGTCTCATATCCAGGAAGGTTAATGAGACATACATGTATACTAAGGAAGCAGGGACTGCTGATTACTTGCATCAGATTAAAATATGATTTTTTTTATTGGCCTCCCTTTATTTTGGTACTTAACATTTGATATCTAAATTAAGAAGACATTATCTTTATATCTTTTGTAATGCACCACTTTTAGAGTTATCCATCAAACCAGTTGGAAGTCGTGGTTAGAAATTCCTAGAGACTGCTGATAGCAGTACTGAATATCTTTTCATTAGTTCCATTCATTAGCTTCAATAACTGAATATATTAAGTAGACCTCACACATATATTAAACCATAACTCATTAATGTTCAGAATAAAATTCAATTGTCACATTTTTAAATACATGACTTGATTGCTAAATGAAACAGAAGTGCTATTTAAGGATTTTAAACACAAATTGTGACGGTTGAATGTTGCCCCTTTAACTTTTTTTCAAATAAACACTAGAAAAACTTTTTACAAATACTTATATACAAAGAGACATGACTTCAAAACAATTTAACTCTGATTTAGTAGTGTGTAGGAAAAACATAAAGCTCTCATTATAGGCAGTATAAAAAAATTTCAAGATTCTTAGGAATAAAACGGCCTCTTTAAAGTAACTTGTATAAAATTTGATCTACTGATAAAGTTTAATTCTGCATTTTTCCATCTTTAGATACTCAGAGTTAAGTGAAAACTGATTTATATTTAGAATGAGTTATAGGATGACAAAGTACCAGTTGAGTTTTTAACAGACCTAGCATGTAGCTCCTATCTTCAGTATTGTAGTCTGCTTCCTGCTGACTGACCAGCTGAGTACCAGTGACAGCACCTGCAGCTTGCCTGGCCTGCTGACTAGAGGCAAATGCAGAGAGCAGTTGCTACTAAGGAGGTGAGACCATGGAAGTTGAAAAAAAAAATAGCAGTTTTAATAGTGTTGCCTAAAGCAAAAAACAATACAGATTTTCTTTTAAATGTAAGGCTTACTCTTTTTTAACTATTGAAATAGTTTTACTGAGACACATGCTTAAGTACTTCACAAGTAATACAATTAGAACACTCTTAAGGAGAGTGATGTTTGGAGTAAGATGGGAAGAAGAAAAAGACGTACATACCTTCGCTTGTCCAGCTTTTGTGATGGCAGGAATATTAAAGTGCTGTCCAGTGTAAAAATGCACCCCACTGAACAGGATCACTGCGATTGAATCTCCTTCCTTCTCGATTACTTCAAGGATATCCTCTATTCTTAAGGTTTCTTCCCCCTAAATCAAGGTAGGCACAAGTTACGTCACATCAGCAATAATAAATTTGTCATTTCATATTTGCCAATCTAAATTTCACCATGAGATCTTCTGCATTATAAAATAGAAGATTTTTTTTCGGATAAAGCTCTTTAAAATTCTGCCATAAGAGCAGCATTTGAGCATAATTTTTATTATTAAGAAATGATAACAAAACATTAAAAAGCTGTTTTTAAAGTGAAAATCTGCAAAACCTAATTGGATTATTGTTCTCCAGTATTTTTTTAATTAATTTGAACTATTTCCACAGCTGTAAGTTGTTTTTACTTTATTCCTGGCCAACAAAACCGCCCAAGTGCAAGAAGTCCGTTAAGTTTATATAGCAAGGTACATTGCTGGAAACTGGTATTCCATTTGTCAATCTAATATCCTGCTATTTTTTCCAAAAAAAGGAAAGATGCCAGGTGTGGTGGCTCATGCCTGTAATTCCAGCACTTTGGGAGGCCAAGGTGGGCAGATCACTTGAGGTCAGGAATTCAAGAACAGTTTGCACAACTTGGTGACACCCAGTCTCTATTAAAAACACAAAAATTAGCTGGGTGTGGTGTTGCATCCCTCTAATCCCAGGTACTCGGGAGGCTGAGGCATGAGAATAGTGCCACTGCACTCCAGCCTGGGCAACAGAGCAAGACTCTGTCTCAAAAAAACCAAACTAAACAAAGAAAACATAACACTTACGTATCTTTCCTCTGAGTATTACCTAGCCAATATCTTCTATTATATCAAGAGCAAAATCTCCTCCAAACTAATCTAAAGATCAAGACCCCAACAAAAAGAAAAATATCAATAAAACTCACTTTATTAGAGAAGTTTTTTTCCTTATATCTTCCCACTACAACTAATGATTGATTACCTACTGAAAGTTGTGAATAAATTTAGATTTGGTCTTGTCAACGACTAAAGCTGAAAAAATTTAGTTAAATACGAAGTACCTATGGGTATTTTAGCAATTCTGATCTACTCACGAAGTTTTCATGAATTTTCTCCAGTGCTGTCTGACATGATTTTGAGGTCAATGCATCATTAATTACATTAATATTTGGGGAAAGCTCATTAAGATATTATCCTACATTTTACTTTTAATTTTTAACTGTCTTGCTATCTGACAATTACTCTGCTCCATGTTAAGAGTGTGTGTATGTGTGTGTGTGTGTGTGTGTGTGGGTATGTGATGCACTCTCTACTAGAAGAAACCTGGAATTTGTTTACAAAATGGGCATCAATAAAAATTGGCATCTCAGTATCAATGAGATTATTAAAATCTCTAAATTATTAAGTGAAGCATACTATATATAAAGAAAAGTGTTCTATTAATTGTAAGTAAAACTAATGACTTGGCAATCCAAAACTCTTTATTTTTAAAATCATCTAATAAGATTTACTCACATAATTTCCAGTAAAATGGTAAGGAAAATACTATACATATTAATACTTAATTTGCATCTTTAAAAATCTGTATTAAGTATATAAGAAATATATTTCTTAGTGACAGGATATTGCCCTCTCTCATGTTGACTTGTTCTAGATAATGCTCAACAGTGTTCCAAGATTATGAGTAACTCAGTAAACTCCACAACTTGGCCATTTATATTAGCAGCTATATTCATTTTTGCTAGTAATTAACAATTTACATCCTCTCTTCTGAGAACTTTCTATTCCATTAATTTATTGCATGTTGGCAAATGGAAGTGAATAGAGTACATCTTTAATTTATTCAAAGTAATCTTGGGTTGAAAGAAGTAATTGTTCAAACAATGACTTAGTGGCCTGGGAGCATCTTATGTGAAACCTAAAATTTATTCTGTATGATTTTCATAGTGACAGATTACACAAACTGCAGGGTTTATATGTCAAAGTCTATGCAGCTGAGCCTTATATCTCTATTAATGTAAAGTACACATTTAGATCTTAGGTCAAGCCTGATTAGATACATTCTTTTGTTACCTGTTTAAATATAAAGGAGTCTCAGAAAATAATATAACTTTCCCAAAGTCACATACCCAGTAAGCTAGAGAGTCTGCAATTTCACTGGAAATATTAGCCAGGCTGAAAAGTCCAAGCTCTTCCCCCTGTACCATATCCCGTTCTCCACTATCCTAGGCTAAACACAAAGAAATCGTCTGATACTTACAATAAGAGGGGACATGAAAGATAGTCACGATTCCACTTCAACAAATAATTCTGGTCTTTAGCATGATTTTAATGGCACCCATGGGCATGACATTTGAAATTGAAAATGGCATACTAAATTTGTCACCCTTTTCCCATCCCATTGAAGAATATGGCAGACTCCAGGGGTATTAATAGAAAAACAATTTGCTTGCATATGGCTAGCCCTTGAAAAATGAAAATAAACAGACAGCTGAGTTATTCTGTATTTTAAGCAAAATGATCTAATAGTAACAGAAGTATACATCCTTTATGCTTTCTTGAAAGTTCCACTAAAGTAATGAAGATTTTAATAAACTTCTGAGGAAAATGAAGAAAAAATCAATACTAAATAGTGCATAATGAATATTTATTTCTTTCTCATATACCTCTCTTGGCTTTATCATCCGCATACTTTCTTCAATATTAAGTCCATGAAGTTGTAGCTGTGACTCAATAGCATACTAAAAAGGAAAGATGATTTATCAAATCAAGCTGAGAGCACAAAAATACACTGAAATAACAAATAATAAAGTAAAAATAAAGGCATATTATGACATTAACTCCAAGGTGGAGTTTATAAGACCTAAACAAAATACACAAGAGAGAACCACTTAATAAAATTTACATATAGAATCCTGAACATTCTTTGAGATGATTGAAAACATGGGGATCTTCTTGACTTAAGGAATTATAAGAGATTTTAGAATAAGAAATTTAATCATCTAAGTCAAAACCAGAATTTGTGCAATAAGAAAAGTGAACAGTAGAGATTTGCTGTGCTTGAACATAGGATATATAAATGGTTTACCCTAGGAAGAGTAAGTTAGCTAAAAGAAAAAGGCATTATGAAGTTTACTTCATTAAGAATATAAGATATGTAAGGGGATAAGCACCACATTGACCTGGAATCTTTGAAAGATATTAAGTCTTTACACATTTTAGCAAGATATTAGGGTTTTATTCATTTTGACGTAATTACTTGCCCTAAAATTACAAGATGTAGGCTAGAATAATTGACAGGAATAATATAGAGAAATAAAGTTTCTCTAACACTGAAACTAAAATATACAATGTAGTTTTAAAATTTAATTAATTGATTAATTAATTAATTACTTTATAGAGACAGAGGTCTCACTATGTTGTCCAGGCTGGTGTCAAACTCCTGGACTCAAGTGATCCTCCTGCCTTGGCTTCCTGAAGTGCTGAGATTACAGGTGTGAGCCACTGCTCCCAGTCTTACAATGTACTTTTTTCTGTGTTTGTGTCTGAAACCATCAAATTTCTTATCGAGTAAGAACAAACATTTTGTCAAGCAAGAAATCATCAAGTTTCTGATGAAATAAAGTGAAACATGACATTTTTTAGTAAATTACAAGAAATGCTTTTAATATCTAATAAATAATTTTTTGATAATAATGAGCCAACATTTATTCTAGCATGCTATGAAATCAAACTGGACAAATAAAAGTTTATATTTCTATTCTGTTTCGCTTAAGGGTTAAGCGCTGGCATTTGTATTGATTTGATTTCAAGAAATAAAACAGCAACAAGAATTCATAAAACATTTATAACTGCACTTGATTTAGACAAGCAGTTTGCTCAATTATCGTTAAAAAGACTAATAAATCAATGTTCCTATCCAATCCTCTCTTCCCTTAACATGTGTTTCATTTTAACAAAAGAAATAAAGCTACAATCTATTTTAAAAATCTAAATCAAAAGCATTTGATAGGTCCTTTAATTGTAAGATAACTTGGAAAAAACTAGTGAGTATACATTCAAGTCAGGCAAATGATATGCTCCTCTCAGAAGAATAGAAAAGAACATAAATATAATTTGAAGAAATCCTTACATGATCAGAAGGAAAGGCTTTGGCTTCTAGAAGAATTTTATATCGTTTTGTCGTAGGCTTAAAAAATGATAACTGCAATAAAACGGATTTATTGAGAAAGCATTAATGCACAATTTGTTCATTTTATGCCACATTTTCATTTTATAATCTCCAGCATTTTAAAGACATTAATTAACTCCACATCTAAACTGTCTGTCAAGGCTATCTTTTCAATTAAGCCATGTTTCCAGTGAATTGCAAAGAGAAAGAAGATATTGGCTCAATTTCCTTATCAATGAAACAGCAAACTTGGGGGAAAATGTGAATGAGATAACAAAGTCTCAAACTTTGCTTACATATTAATTGATGAAACTTAAAATCAGATGATTAATAAAAAAAGATGTTAATTGAAAAATGACCTTCCCAAAACATTTCATAGTAATTTCAATGGCATGACACTGAAATATTTTGGTCTGTGTATGTCTTATTCGTATTGACAGTAGCTCATTTGTTAAAGTGAGGCTGTTTCATTTCTCCACACCATTCCTAGAGAGTGACATTACAGTAATAACAATGAAGATGATAGCTACTGTTAACTGGGCCAGGGTGCTAAAGCAGTTTTTCACATATTATTACATTTAATCCTCAAGCAGATCTTTGAGGTAGATGTCATGTTTCCCATTTTTACAAAAGAGAATATTAATACTTAGAGATGCCAAAAATCTTTTTCAATGTCAAATAGGCATTATGTAATTTAGCTGGGAGTCAAATCCAGGGATATCTGAACTTGTAGACATGTTTCCAAAATATACTTAAGAAATGAAGTCGACTTTTCAAAGCCTTGGGCAGTCACCAGTAACACAATATCCCAAATAGATAACACATTGGACATTTTAAGGTAAAACTATTCATTGAGTAAGAGGTAAGAAGTACTTTAAACACATTAAGTCTTTTAAAGTACTAGACCCCTTTTTAAAAATTTGATTCTCTGAGTCTTTTTTAACCTATATCAATCTACAAAACTATACTGATCTACAAAATTTATTCTGCCAAAGATATTGGAAAATTGTCTTTTCAAAAAGCTCAGTGCTTTGCTAGCATTGTACATCATTATCTTGTAGGCTTGAAAGTAGTTTGCCTATTTACCCAACATGGCTCTTATTCTTTATTTTCTCAGACAAGAACTGTTCATTATTCTAAAGCTCTTTTCAAGAGTCAACTCTTCCAAGATTAGGAAGAAGCTATTATATCATGGGCCAGCATTTCCTAGCAAAAATGAAAATAACTTCACAATTTGTTTTTAAATAAGTAAGCCCTATAAGCTCATGGATTAAAGATAGAAAAACATCAGATTGTATAAATGAATGTGTTCTAAACTTTGGTGGGAAAACTTACCAGTAGAAGATGTAAATTTATAGTCAAAGCATTCATTAGGGCTATTTCGTTCTCGCTGGCTCCTGTAAAACAAACATATAATTTAGATGTTTCTATGATGTCTAAAGATACTGAAAAAACAAAGTAGGAAGGCTTCACTCAATCATTCCTGATGTCTTTAGAGATAAGGGCATATTTGAGGTGTCATCACAAAGAAATGGAGTTTTCCCACTTGACTCATTTTATCAAATGATATCTGGACTTAGAAGCACATAGCTAGCTAAAAATTATACTTATTTTATGATGTAGTGAATAACAACAAAATAATGAAACATTTACTTTTTCCTGTAAACTAAAAATGATATATCCTATTATCAGCTCGATTGTCAAATTCCCAAGGAGCATATTTTTGTGGTAAGTACATCTTCAAAGGAATCTAAAAAGATATTAAGGCCAATTACATTTTTAAAGTTGGTTTTTCTAACATCAAATTAAAATGCACCTTTAATAAAAGGAGGCTACTTTGTAAATCATAACTCACTGTTATTACAGTGATATATACAACAAGACAACAAAGCTGCATAGCAAATTATGACCCAAATAGCTCTGACGTTTATTCATACCCACTGAGATAAAAGATAATCTAGACATGTATTGTCTGATGAGAAAATAGCAAAAGTAAGACATCCACTACATAATTATTAATATAATCTGATCTAATTCCTGCTAACAAGGCTTTTGACACTAGAAACAGACCCAGAGACAGAGAATATATTGGTTACTTAAGAATTCAAAGCACAATAACAACAATAATAATACCTTCCATGTTTTGAGTTCTTATGATATTTCTTCAAGGCAATTAGACCTATGTAATAGAAATTATGCCCCTTTACTGTCACTGAGAAAAATGGGACGTGTACTTTAATCTTTTAAGGCTGAACTAGATGTTAGAGAAAATGTATAACACAAATCCTACATTTTGTATCCAGAGGGATATTTCTGATAGAATCCCATTTTAAAAGAATAGACAGTAAGTAGAATAAATGTAATAGATACATTCCAGGATAAGTTTACTAGAGGGGAGAAACCATGTAAATAAGTACATAATTTAAGAATTTATATTTTAACAAAGCCATTTAAGGAAGGTCCTGTATCTTTATTGGGTCGAGGAAAACTTCTTCTTGCATTTGCTATATAGATTTCTCCATCTGATATACAAATTTGATGAACAAGTGGTCCATGTTAAAAGATACATATCTGATTATTGTAAGGTGAATAATATCTAAAGTGAAGGGGCGATAAGAAAACTCTTACTGTGGCCGGGTGCAGTGGCTCACACCTGTAATTCCAGCACTTTGGGAGGCCGAGGGGGGCGGATCATGAGGTCAGGAGTTCGAGACGAGCCTGACCAACATGGTGAAACCCCGTCTCTAAAAAAAAAAAAAAAAACTCTCACTGTATATTCCTAGAACTACATAAAATTTTTCCTAGATAAATTAAATAGATATGAATACGATGAGCTTATGTTGCATATCGTGACATACACCTTCTTCATGTTTCAAAGAGAAGATTTCTTTGAAATACGGTCTAAAATATACCGCCATCTCAATTATATTTGTTTCTCTGCATTATTGTGGAGGCTAAAGCAACTCCATATTGGGTTTTATTCCAACATGGTGACTTCTGAGTAACCCTTACGCTGGAAAGGCCTTTAAGATTTCTATTTTGACTACTGCTACTATAAATCCTGCCCTTAGGTAGACTCACATAGCATTTTTGCCTTTCCCTGAGGGGTTGACTTCATTTGTCCCGCACAATCCTTCCCTTTGTTATATATAAGTCCTACGTCTGGTGGGTAATGGGGCACGGGACTCACTAATCTTGCAGTTGCCAGTTCCCAGGACATCGTGACTTCTGTGTCTCAGTCCCTATTAAATGTTTTCTTTCTGAGAAACTAGCTTTGTCAGTCTCTTTCTTGGGCCTTTCAGCTTCCTCGGATTTGTTGGCTTGAATTTGTTGGAATAGGTTGGCTTGAACCTGCCGCCCACAGAACAACCATGATGTGAACTTTTACTGCTGTTTCTAAAACAAAAATTATCTAAAGTATCTAACTTCATCTTAGTCTTGACTCTCTGTTATTTACACACATCTTTTGTGGAAACCATTTATTTAAAAAGAACAGCAGGGTGAGTAGAAGGGGGAAAGAAAAAGTAATGTGAAGAAAAAAACAAAATTAGTAGACAGAGAAGCATTTCAAAGAATAAAGTGAGGCAAAAATAAAAGAAAAAATAGTTACCACAAATGAACATCAAGAAATGAAAGAGGCAGAAGGGGGGACTTTCTGTAGAAGCTCAGACATTCTAATATTGCTTAAACATTACATTCTGATTAAAATGAATATAGTGGGAGGCTGAGGCAGGAGGAATGCTTGAGTCCAAGTGTTCAAGATCAGCCTGGGCAGCATAGTGAGATTCTGTTGCTGCAAAGAATTTTTAAAAATTAGCCTGCTGTAGTGGCATGCTCCTGTAGTCCCAGCTACTCAGGAAGCTGAGAAAGAGAGAGTGCTAAAGGCTGCAGTGAACCATAATTGCACCATTGCACTCCACACTCTAGCCTGGGTGACAGAGTGAGAACCTGTATTTAAAAAAAGCAAAGACAAAAAACAAAGAAAGAAATAACAAAACAAAAACATATAAAAAGAAATTTGGATATAGGCTGGGCGTGATGGCTTACACCTGTAATCCCAGCACTTTGGGAGGCCAAGGTGGGCAGATAGTGTGAGCTGAGGAGTTCAAGTCCAGCCTGAGCAATGTAGTGAGACCCTGTCTCTACTGAAAACACAAAAAAGTAGCTGGGTGTGGTGGTGCATGCCTGTGGTCCCAGCTACTTGGGAGGCTGAGTTGGAGGATTGTTTAAGCCTGGAGAAGGTGGCAGGGTGGGAGAGGAGAGGTGGCAGTGCTACCAGCACCTAGGTGACAGAGGGAGACTCTATCTAAAAAAAAAAAAAAAAGAAAAAAAAAAAGATTATTCCTAGAGCACTTCTGTTCTTCAAACAATACAATGTTCATTTTGAATCACCTAAAATTTTTCTGGCTTGGGAATGTGATGCACCTTCGCACATGTTCCCCTCCAGATGTGCTGGGCAGAATTAAACTACACCTATACTTGGTATGGAGCTTCCCTCATCTCACTTTCAATGCTTCTCATGCTTGGGTAAATTCTTTGTAAATAATCCCTTCCTGATTTGAATAATTTGTCTCTACGCATACACAAACATTATTGTACAATAGGCCACCTTAAATTAAACTTAACTGAACACATCAAAAAAATGCAATCTTTATCTGCTACTGACCTTTGTCTAAGAACAGGGTTAGTCCAACATGCATGAATGTGTATACTTGTAACTGGGGGTGGTGCTAATAGAAATTTTTAAAACACTAACAGAATTGTTTATTACAAATATGACCTAAAGACACTAAAGAATTTAGTGTTCTTAACATCAGCTACAGCAGACTGATTTTTAGTGTACAGGCACATTTTGTTTCATTAAACTTCACTTTACTGTTTATTTTTATTTGTTTTGTTTACTGTGTCACCCAGGCTGGAGTACAGAGGCAGGATCACAGCTCACTGCAACCTCTGCCTCCCAAGCTCAAGCAATCCTCCTACCTCTATGTAGGAGGACATTCCACCACGTCCAGCTAATTTTTTGTATTTTTGGTAGAGACAGGGTTTTACCATGTCCAGGCTGGTCTCAAACTCCTGAGCTCAGGTGAACTGCCTGCCTTGGCCTCCCAAAGTGCTGGAGGGATTATAGGTGTGAGCCACCACACCTGGTCTTTTTTTTTTTTTTTTAAACAAATTGAAGGTCTGTGGCAATCCTCCATCAAAAGAGCTTATCAGCACCACTTTTCCAAAAGCATCTGCTCACCTCATGTCTCTGTACCACATTTTGATAATTCTTGCAATATTTCAAAATCTATTATTACTTCTGTGATCAATGATCTTTGATGTTAATACTGTAATTTTTTTGGCATGCTACAAAACACACTCACATAAGACAGAGAACTTAATAAATGTTGTATGTTCTGACTGCTCCACTGATCAGCCCTTCCTCCATTTCTCTCCCACTTCTCCAGCCTCACTATTCCCTGAGACTCAACTTTGAAATTAAGCCAGTTAATAACCTTACAATGACCTCAAAGTGTTCAAGTGAAAGAAAAAGTCACAAGTCTCTCACTTTAAACCAAAAGTCAGAAATGATTAAGCTTAGTAAGGAAGACATGCCAAAAGCTGAGGGAGGCTGAAAGCTAGATCTCTTTTGCCAAACAGTTAACCAAATTGTAAATACAAAGAAAATGTTTTTGAAGGAAGTTAAAAGTGCTACTTCAGCAAACACAAGAATGATAAGAAAGATCAACAGTCTTGATAAGGTTTGGCTGTGTCCCCACCCAAATCTCATTTTGAATTCCTTTGTGTTGTGGGAGGGACTTGGTGGGAAGTAATCATGGGGGCAGGTCTTTTCTGTGCTGTCCTCATGATAATGAGTAAGTTTCATGAGATCTGTTGGTTTCAAAAACAGGAGTTTCCCTACACAAGCTTTCTCTTTGCCTCCTGCCATCCATGTAAGATATGACTTGCTCCTTCTTGTCTTCTGCCATGATTGTGAGGCTTCCCCAGCCACTTGGAACTGTGAGTTCTCCTATAAACCTCTTTTCTTTGTAAATTGCCAGTCTCAGGTATGGCTTTATCGCAGCATGAAAACAGACTAATACAGTAAATTGGTACCAGCAGAGTAGGGCATTGCTAAAAAGATACCCAAAAATGTGGAAGCAACTTTGGAACTGGGTAACAGGCAGAGGTTGGAATGGTTTGGAGGGCAGAACAAGACAGGAAAATACGGGAAAGTTTGGAACTTCCTAGAGACTTGTTAAATGGCTTTGACCAAAATGCTGATAATGATATGCACAATGAAATCCAGGCTGAAGTGGTCTCAGATGGGTGTGAGAAACTTGTTGGGAACTGGAACAAAGGTGACCCTTGTTATGTTTTAGCAAAGAGACTGGTGGCATTCTGCCCCTGC